GTCCAGATCTAAACATAAGGTTTGTTGAGTGAATAAACAACTTCTAAAACATTCTCCCTAATATTTTATGGAGTAGAAGGGCTTTCAGTTATGGGCAGAAAACTGGAAGATTTTTGTTTGCTTGGTTTTTTGTTGTTTTATGCTTAGCAAGTAAAGATTTAGACTCTGGATGGACAGATTTCTTGGGAAACAGTCTCTATCCATCAGTGCTCTCCACTCTGGTGACAGAACTCACTGTAACTAGTTTAAGCCAGAAGAGGATTATTAGAGTTTACTTGCCATCTAGCTGCTGATGCTGCGTGTGTGTCCTCAAACACTGGGTGTGACTCCACCCCTTCAAACTATGTCCTCATCAGCTCCCATCAGACCAGGGTCCTTCCCCTACCGCTTCATCCAGTGGCTTGCTTCTCACTTGGTCTCAAATTTGTGCCTCTGGTTACTGATTCCTAAGTCAAAGGCTGGACACCTCCCAGATATTAGGAAATCTGGGAAAGTGTATTTGGGGCCTTAGAAAGGTAGAACTCCTAAAAATGCCCCCAGCCATAAAAATCTGACAGATATCATGACCACATGAGAATACAGAAATTAGATATTTAAGCTCAAGCCAAGTGTGTGAGATACATGAATAGTTCTAGCTCTGAGAAGGTAGATTCTGGAGGAATATAAATTCAGCTATACAAGGAGTTTGAAGCTAGACTTTCTAGAGCATAGCAAGCCAAAGTAGGCTTTTTGGATAGATGTTGAAGGTATAAAGGCCTGGGCTATTTGAGCCAAGCATCCTGCCGGGTGGCTGTGTTGAGGAGGCTTGGGAAAGATTCTTGGAAAAATAACGAATGACTAGGTCTTCCAACAGTGACCTTGGATAAATGAGTGAAAGCCTTCGGGCTTGTTGTTTCACAACGACATTAATGGAGTTGAACCAGCAAAGAGATCCCAACTGGGCTTTTCAATGCTATATAGCTATCTTAGTATTCAAACTGAAAGAAAATCTAGAAGAACAAATTGAGCAGGTCTACTAATTGGATGTAAATATTCTATTTTAAATCAGGACAGAGACAGAGAGAGATCCATTTCATCTTTAGCAGGCCATAAAGATGGAGACACAGATTTGTTCAACAGTCCCAGGAACTTTTCTCTTCTGATGCCTGTTTTAAACAACCATCATGTTTCAGTGGCCATGGGTAGAACAGGGCTGCACACAATCCACCAGTCATGGTGCATTTGGTGAGTGATGTGCGTGACTTCTCCCACACTGCCTTCTGCTAATAACTGATAGTGTGTGACTCTGAACTTCTGCCCATTGGGAAGATGGGGCTTCTCTGTGGGGCCAGGAAAGTTGGATGGGTGCTAAAGAGTTTGGGAAGTTTTCCGGAAAACCAAATACAAAGAGTTCTAAGAGTATATAATCTTTGGCCTCTAAAAGTCCCTGCATCTGGGGACTGGGGAGACAGCTCAGGTGATAAAATACCCGCTGTACAAAAATGAAGACTTGAGCTTGATCCCAGCAACCAGGTAAAAGCCAAGCAGGGCCACACATGCTTGTAATCTCAGCACGGGGAGGGGAGGGGTGTGGTTGGAGACAGGTGGATCCCTGTATCTTTCTTACGGACCAGCCTAGTCCAATCACCAAACCCCATATCCCCGTGAGAGACCTCGTCTCAGAAACCAAGGTGGACAGTTCCTGAGGAATGGCATCCGATGTGACCTCTGGCCTCCGCTCCTATGTGCAACATGCGAACATGTACGCTCATGAGCACACACACACGCACAGAGAGAGAGCGAGAGAGAGAGAGAACATGTACGCTCATGAGCACACACACACGCACAGAGAGAGAGCGAGAGAGAGAGAACATGTACGCTCATGAGCACACACACACGCACAGAGAGAGAGCGAGAGAGAGAGAGAGAGAGAGAGAGAGAGAGAGCCTTGCCCCAGCTCTTGATGAGATCTTCCTCTTGATGAGATCTTGAGTTTCCCTTCAACCCTTGTGTGTCTCAGTATTACCATCCATCTAGTGGGGATGGGGACGTCCCTCCCTTGTGTGTTAGCGTGAGGATTATATGGTACCTAAGAGGCACCCAGCATGAGCAAGTGCTTGTGACATTGCAGTCCCCTGCTTTGCAAAAGGAAAGCAGCCATGTGCCATGTGATGAGATCCTGTGAGCTAGAAAACAGTGAAGCGATGACTGCAGGGTGGGGCCCAGAGCTGGAAGGAGAATCTGGGGTGCAACTACCACGCCGGAGGGATCACTCTCAAAAACTAGGGGAGTTCAAAAGGAAAAGGAAAAGTGGCTGGAGACTTCCTCTATGGGAGACAGGATGACTGGCCAAGGGGCAAGGACACATTTTCACCTGTGGCAGAAAGACAACCCCCCCCCCACTGCCACCCCCTGGAAGTCCAGCAAAAACAAAAACCTCAGTTGTTTCTCCAGGAACCAGGGGATCAAAAGTGTAGGCTCAACCAAGAGAAGATGGTAGAGGCCCAGCAGGAGCCAGACACACTGGTAGAGCCAGGCTAAGAAAGAGCTCAGGGTCAGGTATAGACACAGTGTCTGTGGCGTCCCCTCTGGATAGGTTATGGCTGGAGGACCACTTGGTCCTAGGAATTGGAGGCCAGTCTAGAAAGAAGAATGGGAAGAATGGTCTTGCCATCCCAAAGAGAAAACACAGACAGCACCCAGGGGAGGAGCTGTTCTGGGCTCTAGGTCTGTGCCAAGCTGGTTGCAAGCAAATCCAGCTTCCCATCGTACTTGCAAAAGAAATGAAGGTACTTCCACAAGGTCGGTATGTGATAGGGTTTGAGATGCCCAGTGTGTTGACATGAACATTATTGGAGTGTGGCTATCACCACCAGAGAAGACAGAGTGAGGAACATGAACAAGGCTAGCCGAGAGAGAGTTCACAGAGAGCCTCCTCCATCGGCTTTTTGGTGAACCTGGGAGGGTGAGGAAAGATAGCTGGGTTAGCCATACTGAGAACACAGAAGGCAAGTAGAACCACCAGCGAGGAGTCTCCTCGGGGAAATAAGCATTTAATGATTAAATACGAAATATATCTTCTTATTGGGTTGGTGGCTCACAGCTGTGATCCTAGCATGGTTGGGGGATGAGGTAGAAAAATCGTGAGTTAAAGGCTAGCCTGAGCTATATAAGGAGTTCTAAGCCCCACTAGCCTCTCTCTCTCTCTCTCTCTCTCTCTCTCTCTCTCTCTCTCTCTCTCTCTCACACACACACACACACACACACACACACACACACACACACACACCTTCAGCCGAGGCTGAAAAGTCAGCACACTGAGTATGGTATGAATGACACACAGGAAAACCTGAATACCCTGCACAGAGGAATTCACAGATGGGTTCTGGGAACTGAATCCAAGTCCTCTGGAAGAGCAACCAGCACTCTTAACCACTGAGCCAAACCCAAAGCTACTAGTTTGTTTTTCTGAATCTGGATGAATCTGTAAAGAGTGTTGGTTTATTGACAGGCAGAACCCTAACAGAGCCCTCTACTGCCTGGTACGAAAAACCCTGCAGCTTCTCTGAGACCACAAAGTACTTTACCAATACTGGCTGTTACTGCTATAGCCAGTGAGGGCATTAACTACCGGTTGCCTATTTAGATTCTCCAGGACATCAGTGGTGGAAAATATTGCCCTGCAAAAGATAACATTAATATATGCCTCGCACTTGCTAACTCCTGATAGTATGCAGGGGTGTAGGCTGGGTGGAACAGTAAAATATTGGCACTTGAATTGCTTTCAACATATTCTTGTTTCTTTCCATTTTGTTTTACATTGAAAAATGTTCTCCAGCGCCCCTTACCAGCAGGAAGTAGTTTGGAAAGAATGACGCCCAAATTCCCAAATATTGTCTATAAATGTTTGTTTTCATTTAAATGGACTTGGTTATATAAAATAAATAAAAAAAGAAGAAAAAAAATGAAAAGTGTTCTCAGTTTTATATTATTCCTACATCACCTTAAACCTCTATCAGTTTGTTATCTGCTACTATAATTTCTTCCACATGTGAAACTGAGGCCATTGCTCCACATGGAGAATTTTCTCCTGTGCTTTGGTATTTGGATAAAAGGTCCGGAATCCTCAAACTTTGTTGTCTTCTACACATTTGCTCGTATGTCGTGAATATTTCTAGTGTTTTAAATCATTATGTTGCAATTTTAAAAGTATTTGGGGAGATATCATAAAACAAAGAACAGGTTAAAACCAGCCACCATTCTATGATCAACAGACAGCTAAGCTGCACTATCCATGAGGTGGCTTCCGGTTCCTCTCAGGCTTGCTCTGCCTTTGCTCTTCGTGCGGCATTTTCAAAGTCATTTCCATTTTGCGTATTCATTCGAGACCTTGTGCTTGTTAGATGGTGCAGATATTCCTATTAGAAGCCCTGTTATTAGAAACTGCAGGTCCTGTTTGGCTGTGAGGTCATTGAGAACGTACCTACTGCTTGAGGACTGGCATTGAATAATACTTCTGTAAATGCCAAGCTCCTGTTCCTCCGTGCCAGGTGTAGGCCATGCAGATCACACTTTGCACAAAGTTCTCGCAGAGCATCACCTCCTCATGCAATGCTCTTGAATCTTCGCCTTTGTCAAATATTTGGGCACTGAATGGAATTCTTGGGGGCCTGGTCTAGCAGCTGAAGTGGGTCATGAGTACCTGACCCCAGATCAAGGTCAGAGACCTGCGATTGGCCAAAAGGGCAGTGTGCAGATGAGCAAGCAGCGACCTTAGTATTTATTTATTTGTTTATTTTTCTTCTCGAGTTTCCACCCATCTCGGAGACCAATCTCCACATTTCCTAGGCCAGGCAGCTTCCCAGATAGACCCTGGCCGGAATCAAAGGCTGATGGGCGTGTTCACCTCCGGAGGCTGTGTTTTGGACCTGGCCAAGGCTAGCGGAAACCAAGCCACTGTATAAAGAGACAGACGACCACCGGGCAGCATCAGGCTTTGCTCTTGAAAGCTCGCCTCCAGCTAGCTCTCAGTCGCAGCTGCGCCCAGCACTACTCGCTACACCTGAAAGATGGCACCGGTTGCCGGCAAGAAGGTCAAGAAGGTGAGTCTACCGGGAGCCTGAGGGCGCTCTCAGTGCCACCTCCGGCTGGGTCCCCTCAGTGCAGAGCGGTGCGTGGAGCCCCGCTGTGGCCCAGCACCCTCCTAGTTGGCGGTCTTGGGTCAGAGGGGACACCCAGAACTTTTGTGTGACTCGGGGCTTCTCCTACAGAACGTACTCTAGACAGCCCTTGACCACCAGCAGCCCCCTTCCCGCACCCCCGACTCCACTTCGGACCGCGGTGCACCCTGGATGTGTGGGGTTGGACCCAAGGCACCCCCGCAGCCACCTCGGATGTCTGGGCGCCCCCTCCAGGTCCTCAGACTCTCAACACTTCCCGAGGGCAGCACCAGAAAGGCCAGGGAACTCTCCCAGAGAAGCTGATCACCGACCCAGGGTGCAATTTCCCACCTAGTGGAGATGGCCCTGGCTGGTGGCTTGCAGGGTGTCTGGCAGGTGTCGGAGCAGGAGGGGCGGGCAGCTGCGGAGCCCTCCTGACTGCCCGACGGTTCCTGCCTCGCGCCACTTCCCACCCGACACCCTGCCAGCTGCCGCCAGGAGGACAGGACTGGGGGGAGCGATGGTAGGTTTCACCCTCAATTCGTTTAAACGACCACAGAAAAATGCCTCACGTAGACACCAAAAGCCGTTCCAGAAAAAAATAAAGAAATAGACTGTAAGCGCCGAGGAAGGGCTGTTCATAAAATCCTAGAAACCAAAATGCCTGCGGGTCCCACTCCTGCCCCCAGTAGAGTTCAGTCCAAATCAGACCTTCTGGGTTAGGGGGAGGAGGTATGGGCCGGGAGATGGGATAAACTCGGCTTGGATACTAAGCCCAGTCACAGGAGACCCCAGGAGATGGAGCCTGGCTGACTATTCCCCTCACTACCTCGAGAAAGAAAGGCATGTCCTGATGACAAACTACCTGTGCCTAGTCTGTAAGCCGAGAGCTACCAATTCAAAAAGACTCTGGGAAGAGAGCTAATCTTGTTAAAAATTGGCAGCACCGCGGTGGCCCAGAGGTCGATGCGTTAGAGTAGTATGAGAAGTCTGTGCAGTTCGAGTTTTTGAATTACTGCCAGCCCATAACTTACTAAATGATGTCCCTGGCAGACTGCAAAGTGACTCACCCCTTTCCCCCCTAGTCCCCCCCCCCCGCCACGTTTGCCTTCATTTGTAAAACCACGATTCTAATCCATTCCCAACTCAAGCTTAGAAACATCACCATTTTAAAGACAACTCCTAGCAGGGTCTGATAGCACAGGGATGAAATCATAGCATAGCACTCAGGAGAAGAGGTAAGAGGGTCATTGTTCAAGACCAGCCTGGGCTACACAGTGATACAGTGTGTGTGTGTGTGTGTGTGTGTGTGTGTGTGTGTGTGTGTGTGTGTGTCTTGGGGTGGGGGACATCTTTAGAGAACTGTCAAGAAGCAAGTGGCATAAGGCTGCTTCTCCAATACATAAATGTTAAAACAAGGGCAATAATATGCATGCCTACATATTTGTATTTAAATGTTGTTACGAGGACATATATTCATTGAAAAAAAGAACTGGTTAAAATGCAGAGAACAGAACCTGCAATATTTTGGTATATATTCTGCTAGTTACCTAGGCAGCTTTTTAAAAAAAAAAAAAAAAAAAAAAAAAGCTGATGTTAGATATACTCCTTTGTAATAATTTTTCACACACATAAACAAATGTGAGAGTCAAGGTTACATTTTAAGTTTTAAATACTATGCCTAAGAGATCCATGAAACAAAAATGCCTGTGATCTTCAAGCCCCTTGCCCAAGGACTGATAGTTCCTGAAATGCTGGAGGCTGTTGTTAATGGGAGATAACAAGCCCCATGTTTTCACTCCCCAAATAGGTTTGTTTGACCATCTGTACTCATGTGCTTGATCACATGTGGGCAGAAGGTTCACAGGCTGGACATAGATCAGGATGTATGATTGCCCCTGACTGCACATGAAATGCAATGAACTAGGGATTTTCCTTCTTAACCTATTACAATATATTAGTGTGGGCCATTTCCCAGGAACCTGGGTATGGACCTGGCCAGAGCCCATCTCCTTGGCCAGTATTTAATTAAAGCTTGCTTCAAATTTGGCTTTAAACTGTGGTAATGGTCTTATTCTGGATTGGCAGGATTAACAAATCAACTAAGCTTTTCATAGCACATTGCACTGTTTGGGTGATGTCTAGGGAATTAAAAACTTAGTAGAATCTAAGTGTATGCTGAAATAATCATTCACTAATATGATTGGCATGATAATTAAATCACCACTCCCCTCTTTCCAAAGATCAGATTCCTGGCTATGCTGTGGTACTAAAATTTGAAAACACGTTCAGTGAAAGCTGTTAACTGCCACAATGTCACTAGTTATTTCTACCCAGAGTGAGTCACAGCTTATTTATTGGACCTTTGTTCATGTGACTGATACATACATACATATATGTGTGTGTGTGTGTAAATATAATCTCACATACATATACATATATGTATATATAGAATATGCATATATGTATATACACATATATTACATAAATATGCTTGTTAATTTATATATACATATATATATTTCTTAATTTAAGGTATAGTATTTAGACCCATTATAGCCTTGATGAATATTTGGATTTCAAAATTACACATGAGCAATTCTGTATCTTTATAGTTGTTTATTAACTTACAGACTTCCAGGCTTGAAAGTATTTGGGTCCCAAAACAAAGCCAAGGCAGTAGGTATCATACATCCCATGTAATTTCCAATTCCACAGTGAAAATCTCCGTGGTTTCTCTGGCATGGGGTGGAGGAGGAGGGTTAAAATGAAGGCGGTGCTAAAGAAGGTGGGGAGGGATTTGGTGATTTCTCGGGCTGTTTTTGTAACGTGCACTCTCCTCATTTCTAAAAATCCACAGATGAGGCTAGTAAACAGACTGCAGTAAGTGTGCACATTCTAATGTACGCCTCAAAATAAGTCGCTTTTTTTTCAGGGCTACCCCACCCATCCTTGCCTTTATCTGAAATCAAATCTAGAAACTGTTTAAGGCTGAGATAGTCATAAGGATCTTGAATAAATTATTCACAGACTCTGGGCTTTAATTCCTCATTTCTAAAATCAGAGAGAGAACTTGAAGATAGGGTATGTTTAATTTAAAGTTTATGATTCTTAGGAGCTACAAAAACAGCTATACTAGTAAATTACTTTTGAATCTGTAAAACTCCTTTCCAATTCACAATTCAGAGTTCATCTCTTGCACCTGAGCACAGTGGCAACCCTTCCACAGCCCTGAAATGGAGTTGCTATGGAGAGTGCACTGGAAATCATCCATGATGCTATGCCTGTCACTTCCCTGGTCTTGGCACAAAGTGCTTGCAAACTCACGGGTGCATAACAGATCTGCTGTTGTAGAGAATGCCAAGAACAGAGCCCATACATGATTTGGCCACCTGTTCTAACTGCACCAGGTGTCGTGTGACTTCTACCATACCGCATTCTATGCTACCCCAACCTCTTGGGTTATCCTCTCTCTAGTGTTAATCCTCTCTCTAGTGTACTGATAGAGCAAGAAGACCAGCTGTCTGTCATCCTTTAAGAACATGCACCACTGGGGATGTATCTCGGTAGCAGAATGCTTGCCCAGCATGCATGAGGTTCTGGCTTAAATCCCCAGCTCTTCTAAAAAGGAAAAAATATGGGCTCCATCAGAGAGGCTATAGTTTACAATCTATTATGTACTTTACAAGGAAGTAGAGGAAAAGAATTTAAGGATTCCAATCCCTCAATGATAAACGATTAATGAAATTAAAATCCCAATTGCCCTAATTTGTTCATTATTCCCTGTGTATATGAACTGAATTATTACATCATGCTCATAAGTATATAAATTTTTTAAAATATTTGTACAAATGGGGAAAATGTATGGTTTTTTTGTTTGTTTGTTTTCTTTATCCTGCTGGGGATAGAATCCTGAGCCTCAGGCAAGTTAGGCAAATGCTCTACCACTATACTATGCATCAAAGTACTTTGTCATGTGTAATGAAAGACACCCATGCTCTGGACTTACCCACAATCCCAGTACATACACGTAAATGTGCCAATTTTCAATAGCTGAGCATTCTAAATAAACTAATGTATAAAATACATAAATAAATGTATATATTGCATATGTGCTTTTCTGGTGTTGCTGCAAAAACACAGCTCTCACCTCACAGGAATGAGATAGTTTATTCTGGAATCATGCTGAGTGATTATGGCTCAGGTTGCTCTAAATTCCATGTTCCAATGTTTTATCAATTTTACAAAGTTTTATAGTCATACACCAAAGTCATAAGTCAAGGAACTCTTTAAATACATTGGTGGAAAAATAAAGTAGGCCAGTTACAGCAAAGCAGAGAACTCTTTTATTGGCCTCAGATACTATCTGACAGCATTCATAGCCCTTTGGTTGGTTAGAAACTGCAGGTCTGTTGGAACCTTTCAGAGGATTTACCTAATGTTCCCAAAGATGTTAGGTCATGTATGGAGGAAGACAGTTAAGGGCCATTAAGAGGGTCAAACATGCCTCAAGATAACTGCCTCTAGACTTGCAACATTACAACCTCTCATCACTGAAGTTCTCTTTTTTATTAATTAATTTTATGTATATGAGTGCTCTATCTGCATGTACACCTTTACACAAGAAAAGGGCTTCAGAACTCACTATAGATGGTTGTGAGCCACCATGTGGATGTTGGGAATTGAACTCAGGACCTCTGGAAGCACAGCCAATGCTCCTAACCACTGAGTCATCTCTCTTGCCCCAACACTGGGATTCTAAATAGCCAGTCATCCTCATGAAGGTGGAAACTCATTCACACTAAGGGTGCTAAAGAAACTGTACTTCTCAAGAATGTATTTGCAAAATCACTGAAGATAGAACTTGTCTTTGAAACTTAACTTCCTTCTCTCCTCCCTCTTCTGTAAATTCAGGGGATCTTAGAGCGTCTAAATGCTGGAGAAGTTGTGATCGGAGATGGAGGATTTGTCTTTGCACTGGAAAAGAGGGGCTATGTAAAGGCTGGACCGTGGACCCCGGAAGCTGCCGTGGAGCACCCTGAGGCAGGTCAGTGCATGCTCCTTTTAAACTCTGATAATGTGTGCTGTGTTGAATGAACTGCGAGAGCCAACCATGAGACGTGATGCTTGCAATGTGCTCCATACTTGTTATTGACCCTGGGCACTGCCACCTATCAGTTCAGAGTCACACGCTGCAAAGCACAATGGCTGTCCCTGCTTCTGTCAGCGACCACCACCTGGCTCCTGCCCTTCTCTTGAGATGAGTCTAGAACTTGCATTATCTCTTTCTTTGCCTCTCTCTCCCTGTGTTCAGTGTTCATACAGACAATCCACTCAGCAGCTTGGTAATGCCTGGGTCTCCTCTCCAGTGAATATTCCCTTTGTCATACCTCAGCCACCCACCCCCAAATTTGCCATTACTGACAACAAGCCCCCTTTGACCATCAGCTCTTTTCTTCTTCATTCCCCCATTCCATCAAGACCCTCCATCTTTTGCTCCAACAGGCTTAGCTTCTGATCATTGTCCTCCATGTGTCTGTCCTTCTCTTACACATCTTAGGATCCACCGTACCACATCGTGTCCCTCCATTGTGTATTTGATGACTTGGCTCAGTTCACACAACTGCAGCCCAGGCCTGTTTGCAGTCAACTGTCTACCTGTCCATATCCACCCCATGTGCCTTATTCCCACTTTGCTTTTTTAAACCACCAATCCATAGTGATCAGGAAGGAACAATTGCTGTCTCCCAAGGCAGAGGTCTCTGCAGATTCTCAAGAGGGAAGCAATTGTCTTTAAAAGGGAGGGAGGGGGATTGGACAAATGCTTCCTCCGTTGTAGTTGCACTTTCTCATGAGGACCCAACTAGCTCTTAGAACTCAAATTAACCTGCTTCTATTAATCTATGTTCCGCCACATGGCTGGGTTACCTCTCCTCTATAATGTATACCTGGTATGTTTTGAGTCTTGCTGGCATCTGCCCCCCTCTCTTCTTCCCTGAGTTCTCTCTCTTTCCAGGAATCCCACCTAATCTCTCCTGCCTAGCTATTAGCCATTCAGCTCTTCATTACAGCAATACATCTTCACATGGTGTACAAATTCCTACAACACTCAGTTGGTAAAGTGTTTGCCCCTCAAGCACAAGGACCTGAATTCCAGCCTCCCCCCCAACATCACATAAAATAGCTGGGCATCTATAATCTAAACACTGGGGAGGCAGAGATGGAGGATCCCTGGGGCTTCCTAGCAAATCAGTGGACTTCAGGTACACTGAGAGACCCTATGTCAAAAAGTTAGGTAAAAAGCAATTAAGAAAGACACCCATTATCAACTTCTGGAACACACACACAGACAAATGGACTATTTCTCTGCTGCAGAGCATCCTGGGAGGGATCTGGATTCTCAGAGTTCTTGGATGAATCTACTCATATGTTATCACCCCTGTCTTGAGGTCCCATTTCTCTCTTATCAGTGCCCAGACTTTAGCATAGCAGGCCTGTCTGGTTGATGCTCAGGCCTTCAGGAGCTCACCTTCTGGGTAACTTTGTCTAGGGCCAGACGGTTGCTCTTTCTGCTCCCTCAACACAGGAGATGAGCCTCTTTCATTGTCTCCCTCTAGTTTGTTAGTGGTACTCAACAGTAGATAGAACATGGTCCCAAACCACTCATCCATCTGGGAAAGTGTCCCCTTTAATGCCCTCCCTTTTCAGGGGCAGCCACAACCAGTGAACATTTTAACAGTTGCTCTGAAAGCCTGCCAGGAGCTATCAGTGATAGAGTACTTAATCCTGGAGGGCAGGGCAGGGATGCTCATTATTGGCTTGAGGAAACTACTAGAAAACATTTTGAAGGTGGAGCTCCTTCAGGCCAGCACCCCTGAAACTGGAAAAAAACAAAAAAACAAAAACAGAAAGAAAGCCAAAAGAAACTGCTCATTTTCTGTGTGGGTCAGCTGTGTCTTTTTATATTTATTATTATTATTAATTCTATTGTTCTATTATTACTTCGAGCTGGTTTTTGGTGTGACAAACATGTTCTATGGTTTATTCTTCTGGGAGATGCAGCTTTTCAAGAATGAGTGGAAACTCCATGACTGATTCATTTGGTCTAATTCCTTCTGCCACAAACTGAAATCCCATATGGTGTCTGCCTCTGCCTGCACCCTGACTGTGGCAGGGTCAGAAAAGACAGATCCATAACACATCCTTCCTGGGACCATTCTGTAAGAATGGTGGCTGTGTTTGCCTTTGGGGGAAGGTAAAAAATATTTAAAACATTGATGCTGAGGACTGGAGTGTAGATAAGTATTAGAAGAATACTTGCCTGATGTACAGGAAGGCCTGGGCTCAATCCTTAGCACTGTTTGAAAACGCAAAGAAAAAAATTCTCTTCCTCTGAATGATCAGCTGCATGCATATTTTATGCAAATAAAATTACCTATCTACAGGTGATTTTTGTTGTTGTTAAGTTTGACTGAGTGGTAGCTAGAATTGACCAAGGCCCTGAAGTTTTTTGCAAGCTGCACTTGATCTGAAACATTTTATATAAGTGGAGCAAGGCCCGAATTTTCAGTGCTGGAGGCAGAATGAGAAAGAAAAGGCTGTATTATGTATGGCACCATGATCCTATGCAAACCACACAGGGAGCAGATGTGGGCCCTGCATTCTAGAATGTGAGAGTTTCAGAAAGTTGCTTCTAGGATGCATATGCTGCATGCTATGCAATATTCTCATCAGGCCCTACAGCAGCCCCCTTAACCAAATGCATTGTGGTACCTCCTTCCCCTCATTATTGGGGATTGAACTTAGGGCCTCAGACACGCTAGGCTTGTGCTTTAGCACTGAGTTACCTCTCCAGCCCAGCATTAGGTTTATTTTGTTTATTTTTGAGACAGAGTGACACTAAGCTCAGCCTCCAGTGCTGGGATGATGGAGCAAAGTACACCCAAGCCTTGTTACTTTAAACATCACTGTGTGTGACTGTTGACACTAACGCTTCCATGTTAGTTCAGACCACACTTTGTTCCCAAGTGATATTTCTGCCAACTTAATAATCAATGGAGAACAGTCTTTGACTTTGTAGAATAGTGGTTCCCTGACTGTGGGTCATGACCCCCTTGGGGTCTAATGACCCTTTCACAAAGGTCACCTAAGATCATTAAAAAAATAGATATTTTACATTATGATTCATAACAGTAGCAAAATTACTATTATGAAGTAGCAGTGAAAATAATTTGGGGGTCACTGCAATCGGAGGAACTGTATTAACGTGTGGCAATATTAAGAAGGTTGAGAACCACTGTTGTAGAATGTGCTTTGGAATTTCAAAAACTCAGTGCTGGAGAGATGGCTTAGAGATTAAGAGCATTGGCTGCTCTTCTAGAGATCCTGAGTTCAATTCCCAGCAAACACATGGTGGCTGACAAGCGTCAATAATAAGATCTGGTCCCCTTTTCTGACCTATAGGCATGCATACATGCAGGTACATAATTGATAAATGAGCCTAAAACAAAACAAATTTCAAAACCTTGGATTTCTCAGCTGGGCATGGCAGTGCATGCCTTTCATCCCAGCCCTCGGGAGGCAGGGACAGGTGGATTGTATAGTGACACCCTGGAGGGGGAGGGGCATGAAGAAACAAATTGCTTCAAGGCAATGAGATTGTCTTCAGTTATTTGCCCCTGGAAAAAATCTATAAAAACAGACTTCCTGTATGTAGTATTTCCTGTATATAGATTGTACTTCCTGTGTATAGAATGTACATGTACACAAACAGGTCACATCTTCCAGGAGGTTTTCATGGGCTTTCTAGAAATCAACTGATGGGCCAAGTTGGTAGTCTTTCTGATTAAAATATCATGTCATCCAAGAGCCTGGGGTCTCAGTCTGTACTCCTAGACGCCTATAAAAACCCTCCCCCAACCCCAGCAGCTGGGCATTCGTTTGATATGCAGGGGTTCCCCTATGTGATGTTTTTATTTGATTTCAGCGCTGATTAAAATGAGCTTTACAGCTCAGGTGTGTGTTCAAGCCCTTTCCTACTGAGAACTAAAGTTTCCATGATTAAAAGAGAGGAAAATCACCCAAGGCTTCAAGCTTGGGTGGCTGTTTTCTAAAATACAGATGCTTTTTTCTCACTTGTTCATCCACTCAAAAGCAGAAAAGCCTGGATTTCTGCTTTCAAGACACTCTACTGAAGCATGGGTGCAATGGCAGCCTTAGCCTTCTTCTCCAGTCTCCCAGCTAATCCCCCATCTCTGACACAGCTGCCCTCATCTGTGTTTTATAGGCCTCTGACATTTAAAAACACATTCCAGGCTTTGGCAGGGCTGCTGGTTCCTTTCTTTGCCTGGCTAACTCCAAGGACAAAAACAAACACTAAGTTTCTCAAGAACCAACCAGGGAACCTTCAAAAGGATAAAAATGAAAGACAAAATAGTGCCCAAATCCCATCTTAACTGAGCTAGAGTATCTGTGGGTTTGACCCCCCCCCAACCCATTATTTTTAAGAAGCATGTAGGGGACCTGGTGAGCACCATAGGTTTAGAGATAATACTTTTGAGCCAAGGACAGCCCTTTAAATTGAATATAGGTGACTACATGGGAAACAGTTTCCACATTTGTCTTCAGCCATGAAAGTGTTTCCACTTACCATCCATCCAAGGGCTAATGGTTGAGGGCAGTGCTTCAATCCTCATTTTATTGAGTACTCCTCTCTCTCTCTCTCTCTCTCTCTCTCTCTCTCTCTCTCTCTTTCACACACACACACACACACACACACACACACACACACACATTTTCAGACAGGGTTTCTCTATTTAGCCTGGCTGTCCTGTAACTCTAGCTATAGACCAGGCTGGCCTTGAACTCACAGAGATCCTATGCCTCCAGAGTGCTAGGATTAAAGGTATGTGCCACCACCGCCTGACTGAGGACTCATATCTCATAAGGAGGAGGCAAAGTGAACCCTCAAAAGGGGGAAAGTCTTTTTAAATCTCAAAACCAGGCCCCCTTGATAGGCTTCCTCCAACAAGGCCACACTTCCATCCTTCCTAAGTAGTTCCACCAACTGGAGACCAAACATTCAAACCTATGAGCCTATGGGGTCTTTCTCAATCAAGCCACCCCAAGACCTTTTCTCAAAAAGAAGCAAACAGGAACTCAAAATTATTCTTCAAAAAACACTGGGCTAATCTCATGTACCCCGAGGTCCAGAGCATAATCTTTGGGGCATCAAGCTAGTTGGCCATTTGTTCTCTGTCCCTGTTCAACTGTATGTCCTGCTGCTTCTCCAACAGCTCTTCCTGGTTGGTGTAGACTTCCTTCATTGCCCCAAAGACCAAACCTGATCCTACTTTGTGTTTGCTCAGGCTGCTCCTACTACAGGAACTTCCCTTCCCTACCTCCACCCAGCAAGAACCTACAGCCCCAGTGACTTCTTTTCCCACGGTACACAGCAGCTCCCACAGAGCCCTTCCACACACTGCCTCGGTCAGGTATCCTTGAACAGATCGTCAGAGTTCCCAAGGACAAGACAGTAGATTGTTCTCCTCCTATAGATTGGTGCCTTCCACAAAAAAAGATCAATGAATAAAGAACAAGTTGACAATGAGCAAACTAAACCAAGAACACAGGGGCAAATGCAGAGCCATGAGCCCCGCCCCTCTCTAACCATCCAACTTTGAGAGAGGTTCCCGAAGACCCAGAATTCCCCTTTCCTATGCCCAGATGTGCGAATGCCAAGTTTTGATGTCCGTTTACCTGAGGGCCTCTAGAAAGCGATAGGGTGAAATCACAGCTTTGCCTATGCTTTCTCCCAGTTCGCCAGCTTCACAGGGAGTTCCTCAGAGCTGGGGCGAACGTCATGCAGACCTTCACGTTCTACGCCAGTGAAGACAAGCTGGAGAACCGAGGGAACTACGTGGCAGAGAAGATATCTGTGAGTACGGCCCACCACGGCCACTGCCTGTGAAGGGCATCAGAGACACTCTGCTGCACAAGTTCCCACAGAGAAAAGCCAGAGTTTTCTTCTCTTATCCAAAATAAGAGACGTGACTCACACTCTCAGGACTGAGTTGCACTCTTCAAGATTAACTGGAAAGTTTTTATGAAGCAGACTGAAGACTGCTCAACAATGTGTGGTCTCCTACATTGCTAAACAAAGTGGCGTCCTTACAAGTCCATACATTTCCCCCACTTTTTTGAGAGGAGCTCTTATTATGAAGCCAGGCTGACCTGGAACCCATAGAGATCTGCTTGCCTCTGCCTCCCAAATATTGGGATCAAAGGTGTGCCAGAATTGCCAAATTTCTTGCCCATCAAGGTTAAGATTTTGTCATATCTAAATTGAATTGGGGGTTCTAAATTTCCAACAGTCTAAATGATCTGTGGTACTGGGTGTCCTGGGTTTTTAATTTTTGTTGTTTTTTGTTTTTTTGGGTTTTTTGTTGTTGTTGTTGTTTTGTTTTGTTTTTGTTTTGTTTTGGATGGTGGTTGGTTTGTTTTGCTTTGTTTTTTAAGGATAAAGCAAAGTGGGATTTTGTGGTTGTCTGCAGTGTGAGGGGAGGAACCCAGTACCTCAAATACGCCAGTCAAGAGGCCTGCCCATAACTTACACCCCAGATCAGGTGGCCCCACTAGAGACCAAAGTGAGAGGGTCACTTGAACCCAGGAATTGAAGGTGACAGGGTGAGTCTATCTTAGCACAAAGCAAGCTGGCCCTAGCTATGTATGCCTGTGATCCAGCACTTGGGGGATGAAGGCAGTGGTTATCAGAAGTTCTAGGACAGCCTGGGCTAATGAGACTGAATTTCAAAAAACCCAAACAGAAATGGGCCCAAAAAACCCAAACAGAAATCCTCCAGGCCAACTCAATGTTATATGTCTAAATGATGAGAATTTACCTTACTACGTATTATTTATTGTGTGAGAAATACATAGTCGTCACAGATTTGGTCATCATCCTAATTGAATTTCAGTCTTATTAATCATAAACCCTATTGACCATTGTCATCCCCACAATAATTTTCTAAGTATTGATCTAAGTGCAGGTTAGGTATTAGAAAATTCTACATTAGTCATTTTCATGTAAAAACTGCTAATCCTCTTATAGATTTTTGACAAAGAGCGATAGCCCAGATATTACCACTGCATCCATTGTTGTTTTCATGATTATTAATGTAGGTTTAAACTGCTGGATTCAATAAACCATTGATCTATATAACCCTTGTTTTCTGGAATAAAAACAATGATTTGAAGAATAAAATTGAAAGATGGGCGGGTAACTAATAATTTTTTTTCAGTTTCGCATGTAAATTTAGATGTGTCCTCCCCTTACCCACTTTAGGGGCAGAAGGTCAATGAAGCTGCCTGTGACATTGCACGGCAGGTGGCTGATGAAGGAGATGCTTTGGTTGCAGGAGGTGTGAGCCAAACACCTTCATACCTTAGCTGCAAGAGTGAGACAGAAGTCAAAAAGATATTTCAGCAACAGCTGGAGGTCTTCATGAAGAAGAATGTGGACTTCCTCATTGCAGAGGTAAGCAAGGACAATCCACGACCAGATGAAACGCCTTTCTCTAGCCTTCTGCCCTCCCTGTGTGCCATTCAAATCTCAGGAAGGAGAATAGCATTTAGCTTCCGAGATATTGTCCCACCTCAGACTTCTGCTGGTGTTGACTCAATTCATCTAATACAGTAGTTTTCAAACCTTTTTCTTGGACTCACACTAAGAAACTGTCACTCCATTCCATTCTGTGTTAAAAAATGCCTAGCAAGTGCGTTATCATCAGATGGTTCCTCAAGTAACAACAGAGTCGTATTCTCATTGTTTTGTGGGAAACATGGTTAAAATGTTCTGCCTTCACTGATTTCAGTATTTTGAACACGTGGAAGAGGCTGTGTGGGCAGTGGAAGCATTAAAAGCATCTGGCAAACCTATAGCAGCTTCCATGTGCATTGGGCCTGAAGGAGACCTGCATGGAGTGTCACCAGGAGAGTGTGCAGTGCGCCTGGTGAAAGCAGGTAACGACAGATCTCCATCCATTTGTCATTCCCAAAGAAAATGCACACTGTTCCGGGAATCAATATATACTGTGGTATGTGCCAAGGAAATACACAGAAAAGCCTCAATTTTACCGTGTGTACATGTGGAGGGGCATACATGTTCGTGTGTGTGTGTGTGTGTGTGTGTGTGTGTGTGTGTTCATGGCATGTATGTGCACATGCAGAGGCCCAGGGTCAATGCTGTGTGTCCTCCTCTATTACTCTTCAGCTTATTTCTTAAGACAGGGTCTCTCACTGACCCTAGAGCTAGATTAGCTAGGTTAGCTAGACTGGCTTGGCCACTGAGCACCTGGAAAGCACTCACTTTGACCACAACTTTGTGGTTGCACTACTATGCACAGCTTTTTATGTGGGTGCTGGGGATCCAAACTTAGGACCCACTGAGCCATCTCCCCAACACATGAATCTATGGTTTTAAAGAGCAGTAAAATTTCAGTTTTTTTAATCCCCAAACCACAAATGCATGGCAGCCTCTTGAAAGAGGCAGCCAGAATTGTGTTTTATGTAAAATGTGTCTCAAGTCGAGAATCTTTAAACATTAGTAACCTCAAAGTTGGTTGTCTCTTTGCCAAAGTTTTTCCTTTCTCGCAGTGGCTAGCTTGCTTTGCTTCGTGTAATTGGTATAATAAATCAAAAGAAACTTTGATATGAAATACTGACCACCTAATAAATCTTTTTATCCAACTGCTGTTCCTAACATTGGGTTTCATTTCAATTAGGGGAAACTCACGGGCTGTTTTCTAAACTGTCGAATTTTCAATCCAAGTTGTAACTCAGTGTCAGGGGGAGAGCTAACCCACCCACTCTCAACTAGAGACACTTCGGTGACTTGTTTAATTTGTGATTCTCATCCACTGCATGAGTTTTCATAAAAACCTTTTTCAGACTTGCCGTTAACAGTAACAAATATTTATATTTGGGAAGGAAATTGTATAATCCTATTTTTTATGGGAAATGTAAAATGAGGAAGGTGTAAGTTAACTGTCTTCAAGAGGATCAAAGAGGACTCCTTCACTTGCATTGGTAATTGGCAGGCACGCTGGGTCTGCAGCCAACCCTATCCCATCATTCTGCTGGTCTTTCGAAACTGTACCATGTGTAGTCTTCACAGGTTAACATCGCTCATTTCATTCATCTGTTTAAAGTCTGGCCTCCTCACTGAGCGCTCTGTGGCTAGAACAGTGCCTGTCACATTATGGATGTTTAATAACCCTTATCTGACAAACCCAGCTCAGCTTCCAATGGTTAGCTCCAATTTTATCTCCATGTGTGTGATATGATCATTTCTGCCCTTAAAGCATGCCACTTTCTAGTTATACCACTCATTTGGAATATCTCCAGTTGGCATTTTTTTTCCAATCTGTGAAAATGTTGGTAGGTTAGATGGACTTAGAATATGCCATGCTCAACCTAGCTGTGCGTGGATCTCTACTGTGGACTGAGCAGAATCTTTGACACATCTTTTAGCCTGTGAGTATCCAAGAAGGAAATAGGATGAATAGCCATTACCTATAAGTTTAATTCATCATTAAATTTGTTGTCCAAATCTTGGGAAGTCCTGAGCTAAAATATGAAGTCTGTGATGTCAGACCATACCATATTTATATTTCCTCTTACAAGGAACCTTACATCTAGCAGGTAATCTAATAAATAGCTAATATATTTAATTAGTTAATTAATTAATCGGTATAGTAAAATTAAAGAAGCTCCATGTTTAAATACTCCATGTTTAAAGTCAAAGTAAAAAGGTCAATGTCTAGGTGAGAATGGGTGTGGCACCTGTAACCCCAGTGCCAGGGAGGCTGAGGCAGGAGGATTGCTTAGAGTTTGAGACCAGCCTGGGCTATAGAGTGAGACTTCGTCTCAGAAAAACTCCTAGTAAAGATGCTAGATGTAGGATGGCTCCCTCTAAACTGAACTTGTCAGTTAGTAGGCTGGGTGGCCAGCAAGCTCCTGTCTGGTATGGGCCTGTCCCCAGTGCAGTACTTATACATCTATGCCAGTGGTTTGGTGGGCACTGGATTTGAACTCAGCTCCTCTTGCTTTCACAGCAGATGCTCCCCATGCTGTCTCCTCCTACCCCTTACCAGACATTTTTAAGTTCAAAAAAGAAGAAAGAGAAGCTCCATTGGGAATTCCTCTTATTTTGAGAGGCTAGGACAGGAGTATGCTGTCCCTTCTAATCTTTTGGATGAGGAAATTTCCAAAATCATACCTAAAGATTGCCACAATTAGTCACCCTGGGCCCAGACACAGGACATAATGACTATAAGCTTTCTTTCTTTTCTTTCTTTCTTTCTTTCTTTTTAAACCAGACATCTAAAATGTACTTTGTCTCATTAAATCAAATCACATAACAGATTTCAGAAGAACACGTTCAGGTGACAGTTCCGCGTAGCTTCCGATCTGACAGGCTGACATGCAAATGAGAACTTTGTGCACAAGAGTGATAGGTGTTAACCAGAGTAGTCACCTCTAGTCAAGAGAGGGTTCTGATTGTTTTTTCTAAACCACTAATCCTAGACACAAACCTCTTTTTCAAAAATAGAATTTAAAACAAACAAACAAACAAAAGTTTCCCCTAAATGACATTCTGCTACTGTACCCAAGAACCCTTTGTGAATTTATTAACCATGCCTGGTGAGAGGGCACATTCATTCTGGCTTCAGATGACCATCATGATGGCAAACTTGGGAGCAGTCCAGCAGCTGGGAGTGTGGAGAAATTATTGTGTTTGCCACATAATGTCAGGCACTGAGAAATTGAATGCTGAAATTTAAAGAAAAAAAAACCTACTCTAATAATGATAAAGAAAAAAAAAAAAAAAGAAAAAAGATGGACAGCCCCCAGTGTACCTAAGTCACACTTCAAATACACGGACTCTTCTAAGTGTTTCTCAGAAAACACTTCCTGGCTTGCAGCAAGGGCTCCCGCTCCCAGGTGACATAGGTCAGTGTGAAGTGGAGACCAAATGCCGTCCTTCAATCTGTTGCTGGGTACGAGCTCCCTACTGGAGCCAGGAGCATGGAACCCTCCAGAACCCACTGTCTCCCCTCAAGCTGATGAGCTCCTGTCCCTTCCAGGCGCCTCCATCATAGGTGTGAACTGCCACTTCGACCCGGCCACCAGCTTACACACTGTGAAGCTCATGAAGGAGGGTTTGGAACGCGCTCGGCTGAAAGCGTACCTGATGAGCCAGCCCTTGGCCTACCACACCCCTGACTGTGGCAAGCAGGGGTTTATCGATCTCCCCGAGTTCCCCTTTGGTGAGTCACACGTTTTGTTTTTTTTTTTTTTTTGTTTTTTTTTTGTTTTTTTTGTTTTTGTTTTTTTTTTTTTATAAATTGTCTCACTATCTTTGCTTGAGAAATTGCAAATGAATTTATATAGCCAGAGAGCTTTTGTCATGGGAGAGAAACGGGTGTCTTGTCATCTGTTGCCCCTAGTTTTGTCCCTGCGGCCAAAGCTCCCTTCGCATTAGGCAATGGAAGGGCAAATAGGACCTCTAAGATACACAACAACCATGAACTAACGTGTGAAAGCAGCAGCTGTGCCTTGGAGTTGATGAAAAGGCTGTCCTCTGGGGTGGGGGTGGGGGGGTCTGTAGGGAGCACGTCCTGATTCTAGCTCGGTCGCCGAGGTGTGTGACCTTAGGAAACAGCCTTTCATCACTGGGTTTTAGTTTTTAATCACAAAAATAAGATGAAATTACTTACTTTCAAAGCCCCATCCCCTCTTTTAAAACTTACATTAATTGTGGGAGGGGAGCATCAGGTACCCTACCCTCTCACTTTCCACCTCTTTTAAAAGATTTGCTTCTAATTATGTGTGCACATGTGTGTACCTGTGTGTGGGTATGTGCACACGTGACCTGCATGCTCCAGCAGAGACCAGATCTGGAACTGGCGTTGTAGGTGGCTTTTGGGAACCACCGACGTGGGCCCAGCCCCCCCCCCCCACGTTCGAACAGCAAGTGCTCTTACTCACCTAGAGGCCTCCCCAGCCCTCTTACCTTATTTTTTATTTCTTCATTTATTTGTTTGTTTATTTATTTTGGTTATTTGAGACAGGGTTTCTCTGTGTAACAGCCCTGGCTGTCCTGAACTCACTCTGTAGACCAGGCTGACCTCAAACTCACAGAGATCTGCCTGCCTCTTGTATCCTGAGTGCTGGGATCGAAGGCCACCTCTGCCCTGCTCTCTCTCTCTCTCTCTCTCTCTCTCTCTCTCTCTCTCTCTCTCTCTCTCTCTCTAGAAAGAACTAAAATATACTATCATTTGTTCCAGGATTGGAACCCAGAGTTGCCACCAGATGGGATATTCAAAAATACGCCAGAGAGGCCTACAACCTGGGGGTCAGGTTCATTGGCGGCTGCTGTGGATTTGAGCCCTACCACATCAGGGCAATTGCAGAGGAGCTGGCCCCAGAAAGGGGATTTTTGCCTCCGGCTTCAGAGAAACATGGCAGCTGGGGAAGTGGTCTGGACATGCACACCAAACCCTGGATCAGAGCCAGGTCAGTCCCTCTCAATCCCCACTGCTTCTCCTATGTTGGAATGAGGTCATTAAAACACCCTTCCCATTTCCTGTACAACCAGGCTGGGCCTCCTCCCCACAGTCCCTCACAGAGCTGCTCTTAAAGCATCTTCCCAGGTGATGTAAGGAGAAGGCTTCAAGACTGATTGTACTTTAAATAGCGCGCAAGTGTGAGCCTGTGCTCCGGAAAAGCACCACCCATGTGGTGTCCACTGATTTAAAGAGATGAAGCTGGGTGTGGTGGTGCACGCCTTTATTTCCAACACTGGGAAAGCGGAGGCAGTCAGATCTCTGAATCTGAGGCCAGTCTAGACTCCAGAACAAATTCCCGGACATCCATGGCTACACAAAGAAACCATGTCTCAAAACACAAAGCAAACAAAAAAGAGTTGAATATCTCTTAGACCTGGGGCAGTTCAGTAGGAGGATGGTTTTGTAGTATGTATCAAGTTCTGAGCTGAAGCTCCAGCAGAATCTAGTATAGCTTTGTATTTATACTTTGTTTTAATGCCAGGTGTTTTGTGTCATGACTTTCAGAGGTGGGAATGAGGTGGTAAGATGGGCAGGGGCTTCCTCAGCCCTCACAGTGCTCTGAGGAAATGAGCCTAAAACTGGCACAGGGCTGGCTGGACACCAGCAATGCTGTCGAACAGGAACCTGTGAGTCTAACAGGGAGGAACAGCTAAGAAAACCAACCCTTGGCATAGTGGTGCACACTTGTAATCCCAGCATGTAGGAGGTAGAGAGGAGAAAACAAGGAATTCAAGGCCAGCCTCAGCTACATAGTGAGCTGGGGTCCAACATGCTCTCCATGGGTCCCAGACTTAGAAGACAGGAACAGCAACAGGGGAAAGATGAAGTCATTGCACTACACTGGGACGGCTTAGATTAGAAGGGAACAGCCGTCTCAGCCAGCGAGGATGAGGTCAGAGAAGAGGGGCTCTAGAGAGCTGGATTTTGTGAGCAGGATCCCACCAGGTAGAAAAGGAGAGAGGAGCTCCAGGCCAAAGGATTCAGGGTCTGCTCTACCGCTTTCAACAGACATGGATTCAACACAGGTACCAATCAGGTACCTCTGTGGGTGCAGAAGCAGCCCGGTCCCCAAAGAGTTAGCCTAAAAGACAGAGAAATAAAGAAGTTCAGAAGACACGGTGAGTTCAAGTACAGAAGAGATACACAGCAGCACGGGCTCTGAGCTAATGGTCCGCAGCAGCAAAAGGCAGAAGGGGGCAATGAAGGAGCCTGTGGAAGCTGCAGCCAGGGCTGAACTTTGAAGGATGAGTTTCATTGCCAGATGAAAGAGCAGCCTGATGGGAGGCACTGGGAGAGGGTGGGGTATTGAGATGGTCTGAGAGTGGAGACGAGTTTCACGGCAAGCAGACTCCAGGACCAGGATGGGTAGGTCCATTATCATCAGTGTGCCTTCTGGTGTGTGACCTCATCCCCAAGACTATAGGGAACCCAGGGCAAAGTTAGATGTGCAAATTCAATAGCCTTCCAGACTGTGTAGCTCCCTTCGAGACTGGCTGTCAGACATGATGAGGCCAGAAGCAGAAGGGGATCATGAATACAGAACAAAGAAGGATGGAGTCAGAATTCACTTACAGGGGCCAGCCTGCTTAAGTGTGGGTACAGGGCCAGAGTGATAGAAGGAAACAGAGGTGGGTGTGATCAAAGTTCACACAAGAGTGCTGTCATGAAACACATCATTTTGTACAATTAATCTATTCTAATAGAAGTTCTCTGTGTAGCCCTGGTTATCCTGGAACTCAATCTGTAGACCAGGCTGGCCTTGAACTCACAGAGATCCACCTGTCTCTGCCTCCTGAGTGCTTGGATTAAAGGCATGCAGCACCACTACCCAGCTTATGTATGTATGTATGTATGTATGTATGTATGTATATAGTGACCAGGACACAAGGACAGCAAGGTTGTATATACTGAATAGAAAATATCCTGATTCTAAATTTTAGGCTTTTCATCTCTATTCTTGTGTCTGAAAGAGATCTGAAGGTTGAAGGGGTGAAAATACCTTAGTCAGGACTAGTAAACTCGTGTTCATGATCTTGCTTTTAAAGACTAATTAAAGGTCTGGGTTGAACTGTGGATCCTGGTGTGTGCTTTGGGTGGATTATTGATTCTCGTGTGTGTTTTGTTTCTACAGGGCCAGAAAGGAATACTGGCAGAATCTCCGGATAGCCTCTGGCAGGCCATACAACCCTTCAATGTCCAAGCCAGATGCCTGGGGAGTGACCAAAGGAACCGCAGAGCTCATGCAACAGAAGGAAGCTACTACTGAGCAGCAGCTGAAAGAGCTCTTTGAAAAGCAAAAATTCAAATCCTCACAGTAGCCACAGGGCACCGATTGCAGGAGAATTCTACGTCTGGGCCACGATGTACACACAGAAGGAATAGGTGGCCGAAAGGCAATGCATGTGTCCATGCAGGCTTGGTGTTAGCTAGACAAAACAGAATCGCAAACAGCATTTCACAATTATAAAAGGATGCTCTAGGAGTTTACTAAAAGCAAAGAGAGAGAAAATCCACAGTAAATCCTAAACAGATTTCCTAAGTGCCTGCCATGAAACAGGCATCATTCCAGAAATCACTGTAGCAACGAGAAAGTCATTCACAGGTTAATCTCACTTCAGGTAGGAGGATAGGACATAGACCATCATATGACCATAGACCACTCAGGGACCATATCATAAATGATACAGCAACCTACTTTACCTAAGGTGCTACTAGCAGTAGGCCCTACGGGCTTTAGTGTATAACCTTTAGAAAGAAACAGTTTATGTAATAGCCCTCTAAAAATGATCCATTCTGGAATTTTCTGTTCTATCCCCCTCCATCACATTTAATTAATAAAAACATGCTGATTGAAAAACTTCAAGGCAATTTTTGTCAATTAATGGTTTTGATCATTGCTATGGAACATTTCAGATACTGGGCCCACTCAAGGTAAATGTATGGTGGAAAAACAGTAATATGAGACTGGTTATTAAACATTCAGATGACATAGTCCTGATCTGAGAATGCTAGCATTCTCTCCATTTCCACACTTACTTTGACCACTAACACATACATGCCTGCTGGGGGGGGGGCTGACAAGAATAGGTTGCTTTCTATACAGACATGGCTCAAAGATGGAACCCCCTGAAGGGCTTCAAGAGCCAGTAGGGCAGTGAGTCTATCACTTTGGTAGCTTAAAAAATAATAATAATCAAAAAAATGTGGTTAAGTGTGCAGAAGTCAGGGCTTTCTGTGGGAATAGAACTGATAGGATGAATCTATATTTATTAAAAGGGGGTTTTATTACAGTGGTTTATGGTTTATTACAGTGGCTTACAGTCTGTGGCCTGGCCAGTGTGACAATGTTGTTCACAAGGTTGGATATCTCAGCTGGTCTTCTGTACACATTGGTACCCCCAAAGAAATAGGTTCTACCAACAGAGGAATGGCTCAGATGAACTTGCCAGAGTGAGGGCAAGCAGGCAAAAAGCAGAAGAGCCTCCTTCCCTCATATCCATTTATATAGGGTTCTACAAGAAGGTACACCACATGTTTAGGGGGAGCCCTGCAACCTCAAATGACTCAGATTCAGGGTGGCTTTTCCCATTCCAAATAGTTCAACCAAGAAAAGTCCTCCACAGGTGTGCCCAGCTGCTTTGGTTTCAGCTGACTCCAGATGTGGTCAAGTGACAACTAAGATCCATCATTGAAATGGCTTGTGCCTTGAGTCCCAGCACTCAAGATGCTGAGGTAGAAGCAGGAGGTTTTCTGTGAGTTCAGTTCCAAGCCAGCTAGGGCTGCATAGTGAGAGCCTATCTCAAAAAAATAAGTAAATACTTTTCTAAGGCAGGGCTGTAGAGATGACTCAGTGATTAAGAGCACATACTGCTCTTGGAGAGACCAGTATTGGCGGAGGGGTGGGGGGGTGGGGGGTACAAGGCCATCCACTGGAGCATAAGTAGCCTATCAGGGGCCATATCCCTAAAGAAAACTTATTCTCCCACAGAAGTCATCAATTGCCAATAGGCTCCTTGACTAGGGGTGGGACCTCATGAGTCCCTCCTGCTTTCATGCTGGGATTTGGGGCTGGATTGATTGTGTATAAGTCTTACAGATGTGATTACAGCCACTATAAGGGAGTATGTGCCATTTCCTATTACACCCAGAAGATTCTGCCATGCTACCTTGTTTTATATCAACCTGATAGAATCTAGTTATTTAGGAAGAAGGAACCTCAATTGAGAAAATGCCCCCACCAGATTGGCTTATGAACAAACCTGAGAGATATTTTCTTAATTGATTATTGATGTGGAAGGACCCAGCCCATTGTGTGTACCAACCCTGGACAGGTGGTTCTGGCATATTTAAGAAAGAAAAGAGAGCAACCCGTATGCAGTGTTTCTCTATGGCTTCCCTATCTGGTCCTGCCTCTAGGTTCCTGCCAGACTTAAACCCTTTCTTTTCCAGATTTCTTTTTTCCCCTTTTTTTTATTTAAATTTGAAACAAGGTTGTTTTACTTGTCAATCCCGTTCCCTCCCGCTCTCATCCTTGGCTGTCACCCCAACCAAACCCAGCCCATACCTTTCTGCTCCCAAGGGAGAGTGAAGCCTTCCATGAAGAGTCTCAAAATCTGTCATATCATTTGGAGCAGGGCCTAGGCCCTCCCCCATGTGTCTAGGCTGAGAGAGTATCCCTTTATGTGGGATGGGCTCTCAAAGTCCATTCGAATACTAGGGAATACATATTGATCCATTACTAGAGGCCCCATAGACTGCCCAGTCCCCCAACTGACACCCACATTCAGGGGGTCTAGGTCTGTCCTAACTTGGTTTCCCAGCTATCAGACTGGGGCCCATGAGCTCCCCTTGTTCAGGTCAGCTGTCTCTGTGGTTTTCTCCAGCCTGGTCTTGGCCCCTTTGCTCATTACTCCTCCCTCTCTGCAACTGGATTCCAGGACTTTGGCTAATGTTTAGCTGTGGGTGTCTGCTTCTGCTTCTATCAACTACTAGATGAAGGCTCTAGAATGGCATATAAGGTAGTCATCAATCTCATTATCGTGGAAGGGCATTTAAGGTAGGCTCTCCACTATTGCTCAGATTGTTGGTTGGGGTCATCCTTGTAGGTCTCTGGACATTTCCCTAGTGCCAGATTTCTCTTTACACCTATAATGGCTCCCTCTCTTATGGTATCTCTTTTCTTTTTCTCCTCTACTCTTTCCCTGTCTCCATCTTCCTGCTCCCTCATGCCCACCTCTCCCCTCCTCTTCTCCCCTTCTCTTTCTCCCAACTCCAGATTTCTTTTGATCATGGTCTTTTACCACAGGGACGGAAATTCTAACTAAGACACACTGTTTCCTGGCAACAATCATCCACTATTTCTGGCTGTTAAAGTCTTTCCACGGCTCTTTTCTGATGACACCGGAGATGGGGTTGGGAGGGGGGGAGAGGGAGATAGCTGTGTTTCCTCGGGACTGAACACTCCACAGTCCAGTCAGAGGGTGACTTACTGGTTTCACAACATTTGTATCAGTTTGTTACTATTCTTCAACACTGTAACCCTTTTCAGCTAGTCAAAAGGACAGTGACGCCTCTCTTGCCCAGCATGCCACAGAGGATGGCCCTGCACCCAAGTAGGGCCTGGCAGCACTTGGTGTTCTCTGTAGCTTTGAGGAAGAACACACCGAGTTGAGGGGGAAGTGGTTGTAGGAGTATGGGGAGAAGTTGGAGCAGAGGGAACGGGGTGGATTTAATCAGAGCACACTATACACGAGCACGGGCTTTTTAAACAATGCAAAGGCAAGTGTGAGCACTGACACACACTGTCTTCATTACACTTGATTTGTGGCAGTTCTGTAATTTTAATCTCTGCACATCTATAAAAATATCGGCAATGTTTATTTCATGGGAATACTAGAATATTAAAAAAATAAAAAGATACTGTGTATGAAGGGAAAGAATTTTCTAGGAATTAATCCCCTGCTCCCAGAACACAGATCTAAACACACCTCTCAGAGGCCCTGCTTCCCTCATCCCTCCACCCCTCACCCCCTACCTCTCACCTCCCATCCCTCATCCCCACCCCTCACCTCTACCCCTCACCCCTCATCCCTTACCTCCCACCCTTCATCCCCCACCCCTCACCCTCCACCCCCTCCACCCCACTCCTGTTTTTCTTTGCTAGCTGCTATCTTCTGTTTCTCTCATAGACTCAGACTAAGTTCAGTATTTTTCCATCTTGGATGATAAAAACACTACCAGGCATACAGTTGTCTTACTCTGAAAATTGTATCACCCTTTAATATTCTTTCCAGAACTTTATTACTGCACAAAATATTATAGCCTTTCATCATTCTTATATCCTTTGATTAAAAAAACTCATCCGAAAGAACAACGATGTTGAAGCTGTTCTTGAACTGTATATCAACACTGTCTCCTAGTGGTAGGCGTCACCATTTGACTCGTTTTTTAAATTCAGCCCCTCCTCCAAGCACATATTGCTTCCAAAAAGGGAAGGCTCATTTAATGCCTAAGAATTTATTTGAGTTAAATAGATACTTCTTTGCAGTGAATACTTTTTTTTTTTTTTGAACCAGAGCCCAAGGTAGCTTAGACATCAAAGTCCAAACGCTCCCTTTTAAGGACAGAATTTCTAAGTCAGGATGCCCAGTCAGGCAGCGCTCCTGCTAGCTCAAGGAGGCCAAGAAGGATGGTGTAGTTAACTTAACCCCACAGGAGAGTGGAACCAGAACGTATGGTTCACGAAGCTAAGGAGACATCCCTAGCCCCAGGAAATGAATATCCCTGGAGTTATTCAGATTCGGGATAAACTGAATCAACTTTTCAGATTATGGTCTGGCATGTCCTCACACTTGTGCAAAACACACTTGCACGGGACAGCCAAGCAAATGCAGACCCCTAGGGGGACATGACAGCTGGACAGGAATAGACCGGAAACTTCAGTTCCCAATGTCTCCAGATGGGGGCAGCAGCTCGCCAGCAGGGAATACCTGAGAAGCCTGGCTTTGCTTTGAAGGGATGTTTCTTCTGCAAAGATTCATGTTACCTTGGCAGAAATCTGTTTCCTTTTTGTTTTGGTCACTTTTCTTTCCCCAGCCCTAAGACACGTGAATCTTTGAATAACATGCAGGACAACTAACCCAGCAAGAAAAGCCTTATATGTCTTCAACCAGATTCGCTAGAATTCTCCCCTGCTGCTAGCATGTTCACGTGCTTGTCAACATTACACACTGTTTCCCCAAACAGTTACCCGTTACTCAACAACATCCCTCAGCCAGTCTGGAACCTCCCACAATCTGCTTACCAGATCAACGACCCTGCACGTGAATAAAGAAGAAAAAAGTCAGTTTAAGGGAGGAAAATAGAAGAACCATGATAGTCGCTTCAGGAGTAAGCATCCACAGCCTCGTGTTAAAGGTTTATATTTCTCAGCATCTTCATAAAGAACATTCAGCATCTAAACCAAAACAAACAAACACCAAAGACATCCAAATGCAAGCATTTGTTACAAGCGCCAATAGGAAGTGCAGGACACCTAACAGCTGCAGCAAATGCTTCCCTTTTCAGAGCAGCTGGAGGAACTCTGCTGGCCCTGGGGAGGTGAAAAACTAAGGGGGATGGAAAGTGAGGGGACAGATGTCATCCCTTGTACTGCTGTGAGCTACAGAAATAGTGCCAAACTAGTCAAACACAGCAGAGAGAGAGAGCTCAACACATTGAGTATTCTGGGAAATCCCTATAATCCCAACGCTGAAGGAGGCTGAGCCGGAACTATCATGAGTTTGAGGCCAGCCTGGGCTACATAGGGAGACCATGTCTCAAAGCACAAAGAAGAGGGGGGAGGGGAAGGAATGATAGCGGAAT